GAGGCGAGGAAGAAGAAGAGGGAGAAGCAGCAGAAGAAGGATGGTGGGGACGGGGAGCAGGACGAGCTGGAAGAGGCGAGCAAGCTGCTGGTGAAGGTTCTGCACGTCTCTGAAAACGCGGCGCCCTTGGTGGTCAAAGCGAGCCCGGGCGTCAAAGACGTTCGACCCTTCATCGTGTGCTGCGTGCTGAAGGGAGTGGACCTGCAGCCGGGCAATGCTCTGAAGAGGTTCCTGTCCGTGCAGGTAACTGCCGCAGTACCGCGTTACCCGTTTGCGATGGGAGCGTGACTAGCAGCATCGGAAACGCACCGTTCAGGCTCCTTCCAGCAGATGAGTTTCTGGAACTTGGGGTGAGCGTTTCACCGAGCAGGTGGTGAGGCATGGCAGGATGGCAGCGCAGCCTGGGCTCTGCCAGCGGCGTGCCGCCTCCTTGGTCTGGGATGAGCAAAACTGGTTTTGCTGAAGAGCCTCGACGGGAGCTCAGATGTTACCGTGAGAGGGCGATGGACCCACGTGTGTTTGCGTTGTCTCTGTAACAACAGTTTGTTGGTGCTGTGGGACCTGTGGGAACTCCTAGTAAACCTGCGTTCGCATTAAAAGTACCCTGGGTTGGCTCCAGGTTTCCTGATCTGTGCTAGGACTGCCTGGCACGCCTGACCTGCCAGCCCAGGTATCACAGCTGCCGGCTCTCACCTGGCATTCTGCTCGCCTCTCCCTTGGGTGCCGGGTGGTGGCTTCTGTCAGCTTAGGAGACGCACATGTTTGTGATTGTTTTCTGATTTAAACCTGTTTATCTCCCAGTTGGGAAGCGTGTCGCGTGCTACGCTCGCTGTCTTTGTGTCTGGGTTGTAATTCAGATAAAACTGTTTTGCAGGCGAAGAGAGGAGCTCCGTTTAATGCAAAAGGGTTACTCAGCTGATAATGCTGCAGATACTAAATACATAAGAATGCTTAACCCTAGGAGGAACAAATCATGCTGGTGTTTTCGATGTAGTTTGATGGCATTCTTTATGTTTTAGACTAAACTGCACGAAGACATCTGTGAAAAGCGGACAGCAGCCACGATTGCCACCCACGACTTGCAGCTGATCAAAGGTCCTCTGACATATGATGTTCAGCCTCCTGACGAGCTGAAGGTAGGGCCAGTGGCGTGGTGGGCCTTTCTGCGTTTCTTCCTTTTGTTTTCTGGAACTATATAGAATGGAAAGAATTTTTTTCTTACCCCGTAGATCCTAGAAAACCAACTCCAGGAACTGTAGTTCAGAAGCTGTACTAATTGTAGCGCTATCCTGCTGTAACAAAGCCTGCTCGAGCAAGCCCCACAGAGCTGCCTGGTGTCACTCCAGGACCAGTAAGAGTGCATCTGTCTGAGGACTTAAAGTAATCCGGGAAAGCAGACGTAGGCTTTTTTTTCCCTCTGCAGACATTCTGATCTTGCTGAATGTGTGCCTTTGCTTAGGGTGACCGAGGTGTTGGTGTTTCAGTGTTGATCCTTTCTCCCTGTGTTGTGGTGTTACCACCTTAATGTTCCCAGGAGGTCCGTACGTGTTAGGATGTGCCTGGAGTGTCACACAGAGGCTCACTGGTGTGAGGGCACCTCGAGTGGCAGCAGCCTTCAAGGTAACCTAATTAAAATCAGTTCAGGTTCTGCTGTTTTACCCAGTCTTGGGTTGTTTATGTTGCTGCTGTCAAAGCAAGGGAAAAGAAAAAAACTTGCAGTACGTTTGTGTGGCAAGCTCTTAGATGGCACTTGCAGCTCAATCCAGAATATAAAAATTCTGTTTCCAATGTATCATCCTTATTTATCCGGGCCTGTTTCAGTGTTGCATTCTGCTTGCTAGACACCTCCTGCTTGTAACTGTCCTGTGCACGTGGCCTGATCTTCAGGAATGAATTCTTTTTTTTCCCAATGGCTTCCAGAGCCTTTTGTTCGTGGCTTCTGTTGGGAGACAGCAGGTTTTCACATTATTCCGTAAGTTACGACAAGGAAGGAACCAGCTAAGGAAACTGTCCACACCTGGTTTGGCACTACCAAATGAGCCTGTTTTTCAAGTGGGTGCTGTAGCTGACACAAAGGTTTAAACTCAGTGTGATCCTAGCAGTCCTGTGTTAAGTAGAAAGCGTGTTTCCATACTGCTAAAGGTGTTAGGAGTGACGGCGTACAGAAGTATGGTTTTAATTATTGACCTGCTTACAGGAGAGTTTTAATAGCTCCAGTGTCTGAGTCACTCTTAAATTCAAATGTTTGTTTTCTCCTACGGTGTAGATAACGCCCCTGGGTCGAAAGGAGATCAAGGCAAAGGATCTTCTCCGCCAGCTGCAGTTAGAAGCTGAGGAGCAGAGGAAACAGAAGAAGCGTCAGAATGTTTCTGGCTTGCACAAGTCAGTATGCTGATCCTTTGTGGTTTTATTCACGTGAATTTCGGTAACTCATGCTCATGTGCAAAAACAGCACCGCAGAAAACGTGCTCAAATGTCTTATGAAGCGTGTTCTGTAACAAACCCAGCACGAGCTTTCAGGAGTTGAGATGGAAAACCCTGAGCTGAGTTGATGCGTAAAGAGTAACCTGGAGTGCCACCAGGATGATGAGTGCCTTTCGTTGTTTCTGGCTGCATCAGCAGTGAATTCTTGTCACATGATCTGTTCTCAGAGGTGACAAATATATTTAGAATAGCAAAAAGAAAGGAAACAATGAGGAACGAGGTGTCTGTCGTGCACTTTCAATAAACGAAGCAAAGCGGAGGCGCGGTAGATCTGCAGGGAGGAGCAGGGGAGCTGTAAAGCTGAGTGTGGGGCTGCCCTGTCGGTTTGCTGCTCGTGCAGGGATCACCACCGTCTGTCCCTCCCTCCATCCATCCCTCCATCCATCCCTCCCTCCATTCCGCTCCTGCGGCTTGGGGAGATTCGCCAAGTACACAATGGGAGGACTGAATATTGCCGTAGTGAGAAAGAGGGAAAATTAAGTCAGCTGTCTGGAAGCATCAGACGGCGGACTCTGACATTCCTGTTCGAGCACTGGGATGTCTGAAAGCACTAGGAGCACACCTGTCTGCTTTGACAGCGTGGATATTAAAGTGTGAGTGGCTTCATGCTTCCTGCAGCCGATGCCTTTCCTCAGCTGTATCACCACGAAACGGTGTTGCTGGAGTTTAGCACTCTGTCTTCTGGTTTTGCTGCGTGGTGGATCAGGAACACACTAACTCGCTTTCGTCGCTGTTTTCTGCCGTTGTGTGCAGCTGCTGTTCCAGTTGCTTATTTTTTGTCTCTTTGTTTTTCTTGGCAGGTACCTCCAGTTACTGGATGGCAAAGATAACTACCCGTGTCTTGTGGATGCCGAAGGTGTTGTGATTTCTTTCCCACCAATAACCAACAGTGAGAAAACAAAGGTACTCTGTTAGTGGAAATACGTTAATCAGAAGTAAGCAGTGCTCCTTTCTGCTGGGAGGTGCTTAACTCCCGATTCAGAGATACGTGCAGTTCTGTGAAATTTGTGATTGCGTTCCAAATTGTAAATCTTCAAAGCCTGAATCTTCTCTGCTAGACTTTCAGATTAGAGATGGCTCTTGGAGTTGTGTTTTTACCTTCCTAAATCTGGGAAGCTCTGGCAGGCTGTTCCAAAGGCACCGGTCTGCCTTTGCAGAGGCGGCTTTACTGAAGGGCAAGGTTCTGGGTTGTGACTTGGAAAGAAGGGCAGCACTTTGCCTCTGGCTGAATCGAATGAAAGCCTCTCGTTCAGTTTGTGTATTGAAATGTTCCCAGGTGGCTGTGGGTGAGTGTGCCCTGATTCCTTACTCCCTTTACCTGTGAAATCCTTACAGATCAGAAAAGACACCCGTGATCTGTTTCTGGAAGTGACAAGCGATACCAGTTTACAGATGTGCAAAGATGTCATGGACATGCTAATTCTGGTAAGAAGTTCAGTACATTAACCCTGTCTGTTCTTGATGTGCTGCTTAGTGAAACGTTTAATTGCTCACGTATATTGGGAAGAATACAGAAGGTGATATTTATTTTAGTACTTACTCTTCCCTTCTTGCTGTATCGCAGAAGATTTTTATATTTTTGCATGCTGACTTAACTGGAGACCTCAAAACTCACCATGGTAAATAATGTTGTGTTACCACAATTGGAAATTTATGGTTTGACTTTCAACAGAATTAATCTTGTTTTCTATATTTTGCTTTTAACAGAAAATTGCAGAACTGAACAGATTTACCTTGGAAAACAAGGAAGACTCAGGCTCAGATAATGAATCCGATGCCCTTTGTGGACCAGTGAATTTGAACCCCAGCCGAAACGTGCAGCCGATGAATCTTCCGTTGGTAGTGGAGCAGGTTCGAGTGGTGGACACAGATGGAAACTTGAAAGTACTTTATCCTTCAAAAACTGACCTAACTACAGTTTCCTCTCTTCTGACTGTAATACGTTAGCAGCTGTCAAAGCTAAGGAAAATATCCAAATTTTTATTTCTTTTCCATGTTCAACAACGCAACGTGTACGCAGTGAGGTGGTTTGGTTGGTTTTTTTTGGAGAACAGATGCAGTGTGTCCTGCCTGGGTAGGTAAGAACTTGAAAGTTTGATCAAGCTACGGCAAGGAGTATTGCATTCTTTCAGCCTTCATGGAAAGTCGTCAGGATTCTGGCTCGGTAAACAGCATCTTCGAACGCCGACGTAAGGGCAGAGAAGGTGTTGCAAGTCAATTTATTAACTTGTAGAGGAAATCATGGTGACATCGTAGCGTTTATAAAATGAGTGCAGTCATATTTTTATGCAAGATCACTTTTTCTTCCTGGTCTGTTTCAGCTGGATGATTATTTTGGCAGCTAAACCGAGAAATCCAGTAGGTGACAGCACTGAGACTGAGTCGCGTGCTGTGTACCGGTGCTGAAGACAGAATGCAAAACTACTTCGCCAGCATCTCGTTCTGCATAATTTCATTGTTAGATCTGGAGTAATTGTGGAAATTTGATTGCTGTCAGAACCTGAGGGATGAGTTTTAAAGTGATGGTTTCTGTGTTCAGACGTTAACACAGCTTCTGTTTTTAAGTGAATTGACAGCAGGGGTTTGCACGCCCCAGTGCATTCCAGAGCCCTCATCCATCCTTGCGGGAATACCAGTTGTAGTGGCCTTGTTGTGTCCCTGTTGAGTTGCTGTGGATCGAGCTCTGCATTTATTCTTGCTTGTGAAGTTCAGTTCTGTTCAGAGGGCTAGTGCTGCCTCACACCGACACTACTAAAGCCCCCCAGGTCCCCAGAACACAAGCACTCTTGCCCAGCGCGACCCTCCTGGAGCTTTCTGTCACGCTCCCACATGCAGAGTGCTAGGGATACCTTCCAAAATACAGATAATTTGAGTGGTTCTAATTTTTGCAGTCTGTGGGTGGTTTTACATCCAGGCTCCTACCTGTATGAATACAAACCTCTGTTTCCGTAAGCCAGGCTGACCTGCAGGTTGACTTTTTTCTGTTAAAAATTACATAGAGTTCTGACTGAACTTCCAGATACTGTGTCGAATACGTCCACGTGTTGGGACTTGCATATTGAATGGAAAAATAAAACAGTCCTGGCGGCCACATGTCGCTGTTGCTTGTTTTGGCATTGCCGAGTTTTCCAGTCGTGTAACCATACAAACTTGCCAGAGCAGCTGTCGTGTGCTGCAGAAATGGTGACTTCTGGCTTTCTGGCCACTTGTAGCCCAGCAGTCCTTCGGGGTGCGTCAGGCTTCCCTCTGAAGTCGAACGTTTCTACAGACCAATGATTTACAGTGAATTGTGCTCCGAGGCGGTTGAAACCATTGAATTAGATATTCCCGCAGAACTTGATTTCACTAAAATGACTTTATTTCTTAGTCACCATCTCAAAACCAAGGAACAGGAGCCCGAAGCCGGTGACATGTTCCAACTCAGCCGTGAGGGCTGCTTTTCCGGCGCGGGAAGGTGCTACCTCAGGGGGCTCTTTCTCCTTCCCTTCGCACTGGCAGGCGATGACGTGGACGTGTTGATGCTGGAGAGCGATGGGACCTTGCTGCCTTTCTGTTTCAGCATCTGATGGAATTCCGTCCATTCGTTAATTATTTTCTGAAATGAGGGATGTGTGAAGGGGTGGGAAAGCATTAGCCGGAGAGCAGTACTGCAAAGTGTTCTCTTGTTTCATCGGTCCGTGCCGGCTG